CTATAGCTTATTGCTTCTAGGTTACAAACCTGTTACTTTTCCGAATACTGTAAGTAATGGTAAAACAGTGGTATTTCTGTTTTGAAATATATCTAGACATAGACAAGATACAATAAAAATACAACAAATAAAGATAAAAAATGGTATACCTGTTTAGGGCATTGACCATGAAGGAGCTTACAGGCTTAGAAGTTCCTTTAGGTGAGTCAGTGAGTGAATATGAAGGCCTAGGACATTACTGTGCACTACTATAGATTTTACAACACTTAGGCTACACAAAATTTATACTTTTTCTTTTTTAAATCATAAATTATTTGTAGCTTACTGCAACATTTTTACCTTACAAGCTTTTAAGTTGCTTTTAAAACTTTCAAAGTCTTTAGTAATAACAATTAGCTTAAAACATGAACACATTGTACAGCTGAACAAAAATTCTTTCTTTACATCCTTATTTTATAAACTTAGATTTTCTATTTTTAAATTTTCTGGGGACAGCTGGTCATGTGGAGATTAAGGTAGCTGGATTCCACATGGCTGACTGAGTGGTTTGAATCCCATACTTGGTGGCTTGAAAAACACTCTGGGTTCACATACATGCCTAAAACCACATCAAGAAGGAGCAATGGAGAAAGGATTGTACCATGATCATCTCCCCCTGGGGGGTGTTTGCTTTCTTTCTCTCTGCTTTTGATGGGTCAGTGAGTGAATGTGAAGACCTAGAACACTCCTATACCCTACTGTAGATGAACCCTCTAGTAAATTTTTAAAGAATTAACAAAATTAAAAATAACATTTTCATTAAAATCTAAGAAACCAGTACTTACCTTACCCTAGGCCTACACAGATGTAAAACATCAATATCACTATCTCCCACTTCCACGTCTAGTCTTACTGGTAGTTCTTCGGGGGAAATAACAATCATTGAGATGTCATCTCCAATGATAATAATGCATCCTCCTGGAGGACCTGCCTGAGGAGGCGTCACTCTTTTCAGAATTATGTTCATGGTGGTTTGCTTGGTTTGTTTCTTGTTTCTCATCATAGATTTGTTTGTAAGCAGATAATACAGTATGGAGATTCTTCTCTATTAAGAAACACTTTTCAGTTCCGTGGTGCATGTTTTCAGACTTAAAAAAAGTCTATTTATTTCTTCAGAGAGACAGAGAAAGAGAGAGAAAGACTGGTATTCCCAACAGCATCCCCACACTGCAGTCCACTCTGGTCTCAGCTAGCCTGGATCACAGGGAGGCCTGGGGAGACAAATCTAGAACACTTTCTATGTGGGGTCCAGCTATGGACCTGGCCTTCAGACCTTTTAAGGAGCATGCTGAGTTCTTCAGAAGCTTATGCTAAGTCCTTCACTGTGAATTTCTGTGTGAGTTCTTTTTCTTCTCCTGTAGTTTATTTTTTCATTTGCCTCTTCCGCAGCTACAAGTTCCTGTTCTACTTCCAGTGCCTCATTATCAGTCAGTTCCTCAGGAACCACATATAGAAGCTATTCAGTGTCATCATCATCCCCACCCAGGTCAAAGTTGTTTGCCATTTCAACCACAGCCTTGAGGATTTTTATAACCTCCTCATCCTTAGCAAATCCTTTGAGGTCACGAATGAATCTCTTGAGTGTTTTTGTGTAGATGTATTTGTCATGATGTTTGGTGAAGCACCACAAGCTGAAACAACTTATTGATGCAGTCATAGATGTTTTACTCCTTCCAGAATTGCAGCAGTGTTTTCTTTAGTTGCAGCAATAGCCTGGGCGAGGGTCCTTTTCAGGGAGTGGACCTTAAAAATACACTACAGCTCCTGGGCCAGCCAGGTGGCTTGGTGGTTAAAGCAGCTGGATCACATGGCTGTGTGGTTTAAGTCTCAGCTTGGAAAATACGCTGGGTGCATGCCCAAAATCCCAAGAAGAGAATGAAGGAAAAGGATTTCAACATGACCATCCCCCCTGTGGGGAGATACGATTTCTCACTTTCCCTCTCTCTGTCTCTCTCTCTCTGGTGAGTGCACTTGCCTTATAACAAAAGAAATAAAAACGCTATAGTTCACTTTCATATTATGTATGAATAACAATTCTTGAATTGTTTAAACCACCCTGAGCTAGTAGTAAATTCAACATTGTAGTCAGGTTAGGCATTATTTACCTATTTTTAGACATTTTAAAGTTTATTTCCTTAGAGAGATAGATACCCCCAGTAGGGTCTTTGTGCTGCAATCTACTCCCAGCGTTTAGTCCTTCGGGAACTAAACATTTGGTTGGAAAGAAAATACATACTGGGTTGGCACTCACAGAATGCCGATTAAGAGACATGACATTAATATGAGCCAAAGGAGGCTGATCCTGAGGCTGGAGAGGTAGAAGACCTCAAGGAAGAAGTCTTCCATCTGTGCTAGTTTCTAAAATGTGGGCAGTTTTTAGAAAGAAAGGAAGGAAAAAGGGCCTCTCAGCAGGGCAGGACATGCCGCCGAAAGAGGACCCAGGCAAGGGGAGGATGCTCAAATAACCCCAGGCAAAGTAGAGGGTACTGGAGATGAGATTGAGAAGCAAGGTATTGAGGGCTTTGGTGAGAATGATGGTTGAGGAAGATTGAGCTGGTGGCAAATGTAGTATCCAGTTCATTACAAGCGCCGAGAAGAGATTTTTTATTTTCTGTCTTAATAAGGGCAACCTTTAAATACAAATGCCAATGCCAATGAGAATTGACTTCTGTGCTATTTTTCCTTCCTATTTGTAAAAAAGGTTTCCCTTTTCATGTTCTGTTATTACTACAGCTATTAAAATCCTGCTTGACCTGGGCAGCCAGCCCTTTTCATGGAACTGGAATGAGAAGCAATGACTTTACTCTCAGGGTCAGTGGGAGCTGGCTTGTATCAGCTTGTGAGAGCAGAATATTAAAGTTTCAGAAAATTTACCAGCTGGTTGTTAAATACAGTCATTATTAAAAATTGTATTACATGTTACTTATATTTAAGTAAGTTATTATTATAAACAAAGATTAAACATACTCAAAACCCATAATTTTCTAATTATTTTACCACATTTTACATTTATTATATGTTCCTCGAGGTCATTTACATTATTATATGTTCCTCGAGGTCATTTACACCCATCAGATCTGTGTGGTGGAAATACTATCTAACAGAGAAGTGCCCTGGATGGGATCTTGTTACACTATGATCCCCTTTCCCCAGCCCTCTGGTTCCTCAGAATCCTGGAACCCAACATGCTTTCAAGCCAACCTGAGGATCAAACTCATGGCTGGATGAGGATCCAAGCCCATGTGGCTTCCAGCCTTGCAGGGCACTGGTATTAGCACTGTGTCACAGTGATTGGGCTGATGTCAGCATTTTGACCCCTTTTACGGGTTGAAAGGTTGTTTCATGTGGAAGATGAACAAGATTTATTTCAGCAAACTGGATAAGAACTCACTGGGCCCAGTCCAAGGATGAGATTTTAGTTTTTCCTTTGCCTTTACCCTAGAGAGTTAAGCCTGCATTCTGCGGGTAAGGGTAAAAAATGCCTGTTTTATTTACAACTATCTGCGTGTCTAGTCTAGATAATTCAGTTCAAACAGATTTGCAAAGGCTCGTCTAAAGTAATACAGTCCCAAATCAAGTTCCTTTTCCTTTCTTTTCAAGTTCCACTAATAATTTGGGAGAATGTTATGAATACACAGAGGCACAAACAAACACTTTTACATGTCACATATAAAAAATAAATTTTGGACCAGCAGATGGTGTAATGATTATGTTGTGGAACTCCGACGTAGCGGACCATGATTCAAGTCGTGGACCCAGTGACTTAAACACTTGCATGCTTGGGAACATTTGTATGAGTGCCCATAATCCCAAGAGGAGAATGGAGGAGAAGGGGTTGTGGTGTGACCATCTCCCCTGGAGGGGGGGGGATGATTTCTTGCTTTCTGTCTCTCCAGTGAGTGCATGTGCCCTATGGCAAAAAAAAAAAAAAAAAAAAAAAAAATCTTAGGGACCAACAGGTGGAATGGTGGTTGAGGCACTGCACTCCAACATGACTGACTGCAGTTTGAGTTCTGGACCTGGCAGCTTGTTTTCTCACTTTCCCTAACCCCTCGTCTCTCCCTCTGGTGAGTACATGTGCTCTGTAACAACAACAACAAAACTCAAAAACAAAAAACAAAAATCACAAATGAAAACTAATATTGATAATTATTTTAAACATTTATTTTAAAGTAAAAAAATTTTAAAAAATGCAAAGCATTTGCTTTTAAAACTAAGAGTTTTCAATACAAGTAATAATGTATCTGTGGACTTAATTTTTTTTTTTTTAATTGCAAGTGGGATCCAGCATGAAGCAGTTACAGAAGACAAAGCACCCACCTTCAACTCCCCAAAAAGATTTATGGTGATTATGCCTTTTGGGGGAAAAGGGGCAGGAAGAAAAACAAAAACTGAATGTGGGAAAGGGGGCTGGAGTGTCTGTCTGTGTGCCTAGATAGAGAAACCAATCAGGGCAGAAAATTCCCTGCCCAAGGTAATGTAGGCAGGAGATTTCCAGTGAGGGATGTCTAGCTGATTAAGCCACATTTGACAGAGTCAATGAGATGGATCAGTGGGTCCAGTCACATTTGATAGAGCCAATGAGATCAAAACAATCAGTGGGCCCAGTCAATGATCAGCTGACACAGCCTAGATTAAAAAAAAATTATAAACCTCACAGAATGTAATAGTGGCTAAAGGGAACGTTAGCCAGTCTTTCTCTCTTGTGCTTGGGTCCACCTCTTGAGAGTGTCCTTTTACTTTTACTTAATAAATACTTAATAAATCCTTTTACTAAATAAGTAAATAAATGGTAAGTGGGCATGTGCACATCTGTAAGAGAGAGAGAGAGAAAGAGAGAGAGGAAAAGAGAGAGAAAGTGCTCTCCCCATGGGACATGGTCATGGTCCAATCCTTTTTCCTCCATTTCTCCATCCCTTCAGGATCTGGGACATGCACTACATGTGCTCAGCATGTTTTTCAAGCTGCCTGGGAAGGATTCAAACCATGGTTAGCCATGTGGGATCTGGCTCCTAATGCACAGCTCTTGACCTCTGCACTTATGGGCCTGGCCCTGGACTTAATGTTGTAGCCTTTTAACGACAAAAGAAGGGAGGTATAAGGGAGGGGAAGAAATGAGACTGAGGTGGAGAATGCAAAGAGAAGAGGGAGGAGAGTAAAAGGAAGAAAAGGGTGAGAAGTACAGTAGGGAGGAAAAGTCAGGAGAAGGTGAAAGATGAGCCCATTGGGCTCAGGGGTGAGTATGGTGGCTGGGTTAATCTGTCTAGTTTCACCTGAGCAAAGGGCCCAAGAATGGGTCACCTCTGCTCTGATGAGTACTCTAGGGACTTAGCAACAATCATATTCTGGAAACAGCTTTTCTTTTTCTTTTTCTTTAGTGTGTATTTCTGACAATCAGGGTATTTTCTCATGGGATTTGGAATATCTTCACCTTGTAATGACATTATTCAGAATTAATGACTTAGTATTTATATTAAGTTAGTAATTCAGTAATTAATATTGGGTTATATAGCCTATATTTCACTTTGATGGATTTTTGGACCTGACTGATAGCATTAGTTATTTTACAGAGAGGTTTAGAACGCTCCATTTCACAACATGTATAGATTGCTTCTGAAGACAATGTTTATTTCAAAATAAATCTGTTTTTGATCTACCTGGAACTTGGCATGAGGAACACACAATGCAAACAAATAAAATGAGAAAAGACACTTGGACAGGAGGCGTCACTGGTTTATTGCTTATTTAACTGCTTTGAACAAAATGTTTGGTTCCTGCTTGAATAAGAAAGGGAATGAAGCCCAGACACCTACCAGGATGAGAATTTGATTCCTGTTTAAAGCTTTTGCTGCCAGGTAAGACTGTCTCCTAAAGTATGGGAGAACAGCAGCAGCTTCAAAAAGGTGGGGTTAAGAATGGGCAGAACTGGGAACCAGCAGTTAGTGTAATGGCTATGTCGCTGGACTCCCATGTAGTTGACCGCGGTTCGCGTCCTGGACCCGGTGGCTTAAAACTCACGCCGGGCGCTTGTGCGTGCGTGCCCAAGATCCCGAGAGGAGAATAGAGGAGAGGGATTGCGGTGTGACCATCCCCCCTGGGGGGTGATTTCTTGCTTTCTGTCTCTATGTCTCTCTTTGTCTGTCTGGAGAGCGCATGCGCCCTACAGCGAAATCTCTTAAAAAAAAAAAAAAAAAAGAATGGGCAGAACTGGGCTTCTCACGAACCAGAAGGAAGATGGGTTTGAGTAACTGCTTACAAGCTATGTGTTTGGTGGTGGTGATGGAGCTGGATCGTGGTGACTTTTGGTCACAAGCAAACCCGTAGAATCATTTAGCAGCTTTTCTAGTTGACTAGGACTGTGTCTCCAGTGTCACTAACTAGACCTACAGTGGCACTTGTTGGTCTTTACCTTCTCACCACATACAAGTTTACTCTCTTCTTTCCTTCAGTTGTTTTTTTCCCCTCCTGAAGTCTGTGCATTATGGAGGGATTCCAGCCACAGGCTGCCACTCAGGGCATTCAGCAGTGATGTCTGAGGACAAAACAGTTAAGAGGAGGCTGCCAGGTGCTCTCCTCAGCACCTGCTGCAAACATTTGAGGCTGGATATGCATGTGAGATCAAAGAGAAGGCAGCTGTGATAACCTGGGGATGTTAGGAGATCCTGGAGAAGAAATGTGTTCCGTGTTGCTAAATCATTAGGAATTGAATACCGTAGGTAGAAAATGGCAGAACCAAAAAGAAAACAAAACAAGAGGATGCTAGACTGATCAGTGGAATATCTGGACCCTTCAAAAGAATTCTTCTGGCTGTATGTCACGTCTTTTTCTTCTGGATGTCAGTTTGTTGGCTAGAAAAGAGGCTCTTTGTCCTGAAATGTCTTCATTAGTGAAAGTTCTAGATGAGCTCAGCTGGAACACGTTGAACTCAGCGACTCCTCCACACTGACGAAGGCTTGGGATTGGCTCTGCAAATCTTGAACTTACCTTCCTGTAACAGCTTCTCCTGACCTCGGTTCACACAGATTTGGTCTCTGCCAATAGCCTGGCAACTCAGCTTGTGTGGCTGGTGTGGGCCGGCCTCAGATCATCTTCTAGGTGCATTTCTTTAGTTGATTAGGTAAAGGACTGATTTTTATATTTCTCTGGAACTCCTCCCCTTTTTGTCACATACCTAGGTGCATGAAAATACATGCTAAGTGGAAATAGATAGTGCCAGAAGCTATGAACTTGGTGGAAGATGACCTGGACTTTAGTTTGGTTTGACATTTGTTATCTACGTGAGCTTGGGCAAGACTTTGACCGTTCAGCTCTCTATACACGAAGAACGGGGATCTCTGCTCTGCATACTCTACTGGTCTAATATAAGAACTCCTAAAAATGTGACTTCTTTGGTGAGTAGTAACTACTAAAAATATGTGACATGCACGTCCTTTAAATCTTTGTTCATTGTCATTTGCTCAGTGAGAACTTCCCAGTTCTTTACCTGGGCCTCAACTTGGGAAAGAGGGAGCCAGGCATTATGACCGGCTCCAAGTGCAGACTTCTCCCTGCTTGTCATCACATTGTACCACAGAGGAGCTACTTGCAGAGCCTTGACTATTTCCTTAAATACAGATTTTTATTACAGGTATTTAGAGATATAGAGTGCAGAGGTGGTACAGTATTGATCTCTGCTGTCTATAGACTTAGGGCAGGCTATGTCTTTTGCTTATTTATTTATTTATTTTTAGTAAATTTTGTTCAATGCTGAGAATCAAAGATTAGCTAAAAAAAAGGAAAAATATTAATACAGTCTAGTGAGGGAGACAGAACACAAACAAATAGATGGAAGATAATGTGATTGTAGATTTGATAAGTGTTAGGAAAAAAATAAATCAGGTGTTGCAATGGTAGAGAAGGTCAGAGAGAGACATACTCTGAGCAGTTAGAGTCCTCATAGCCAGGGCCTGAGGGAGAAAAACCAGCCATGCGTGGAACTATGATAGGAACATTCTGGGCAGAGAAAGCAGGATGTAGGAAGGCCCTGAGGCCAAAGGAGTCTAGTGAAGAACTGAAAGGTGGCCGATGGGTACTGGAGTCTGGGACAGAGAGAAAAAAATTAACCCAGATAAGTTGAGGGGTGTACTGGGGCTAGGTCATGTGTGACTGAAAACTGTGGAGTGTGTAGTTTCAAAATCACCACATCATCTGATGAGGACATTCTCTGTCTCAAAGTAAAAAAGTAAAAATATTGTCATACCCATCAAAACACGAGATCTACCCTCACCTCTTCCTTCTTCCTAACTACCCACCTCATGTTCAATCTACTAGCAAATCCTACTAATTTCACCTTTAGATAGCTTTCCAAATCCATTCCCATCCCATCCTCTCCACCAACACCTCCCTTGATCAACCCATTGTCCCTCTTATCTGGTTTCCTGTAGAAGCCTTCGAGGTGATAGTGTGCTGGTGAACTAACACATGTGTGTGTGGGGGTGGGGGGTGGGGGGAGAAGAACTGTCTTGAAGTATTGGCGAGTATCCTTGGTGGCAACACTCACACCATGGCCTATCTGAACCTAACAACATGATGCCCTTAAGTGTGGTATCTGGAAGACAATGGCATAGCCTGCTTAAGTGTTCTGGTCCTTCTTGTGGCACTCCCAGAGTAATTTTTAAAAAGCACAATTCTGACCATGCCCCTGCCCTCTTCAATGCCTTCCCACCAATTTTTTTTTTTTTTTTAGAGATATTCCTACTATTGCGTGTGTGCACTCACCAGAGAGACAGAGAGACAGCGAGAAGTCACAGCCTGGAGGAATGGCCACATCACAATCCCTTCTCCCATTCTCCTCACAGGATTTTGGGCATGCACACAAACATGCAAAAATCTCTAAGAAAATTTTAAAAAGAAGAACTTATTTCTTTTTTTCATAAGAGATGGAAGGAGAGATACACACTTTCACCATTGTCTTTACACAACTATCGATCCCCAGTCTCAGCTGTCTCGCTTGCTCAGGGAGGTCCTGGGACACAAACCTAAGACCTTTCTCATGGCGTCCAGTTGTGGTTCTACTGTGGTACTACTTGCCCCAAACTTAAAGGCTTTATGAAAACTAGGTCTTTAAATTTACAACTTTAATTAATTAAATATCTCTTAAAAGGAATGTACAAGAGCTTCTCTCTCTCATGTACAAGAGTACAAGTACTTCTCTCTGACACTGAAAATTCAAGTGTTGCCCCTATATATGCAGGGAAAATTTCTGGAAGGAAAAAAGGACAGTAGTTACTCTTGGGAAGAAGGAAGAGTTTTGTTTTGTTGTATAATCTTTTTGGACCATCTAGATTCTTAAAATCATATGTCTAATTACTTTTTCAATGAGAAGCAAAAATCACTCTAAAAATGGCCTGTGGAAAATTTGGATTTAAACGCTAAATGATGCAGGAGAAGGAAAAAAGATGAAAGCAGACACCCAAGGAAGAACAGAAAGAGATGGAAAACTTGTTTCACATAAAGAGAGTGTTGATGTCTTAAAGACTGCGCAAGCCAGTCTTTGAGCCAGCTAAACCTCTCCATCATTCAACAATTCCATCGACTCCACCCAGTTTGCACGTAACACCCTCTCCTCTGCTGTTCGTCATGCTGCCCAAGCACAGCTAATACTTGTGCACTCCCTCCTGGCCTGTTGTTGTCTGTTAGTTCATGATGGACTCAAGACAGCAGGTGCCACCTCCTCCTCAACAAGAGAAGCAGACTATTTAAAGTTAAATCATAGGCTAATAACTAAATACCAATATTTGAACATTGTTTTATAGTTTACACAGAGCAGTCATACAGATTTTCTCATTTTGTTCTTGCCATAATCCTATGAAGTCAACCATTTTACAAGAGAAGAAACCAAAACTCATTAAATGATTTACTCAAGGTCAAACTTCTGGTGATGGTGCAAGGACTCCAGTCCAGGTTTACAGACTTCAAATTGGATGTTCTTTATACCCTACCATATCTGATTCTGGGAGAAATTATTCCCGCTTCTTAGCTTTGCCACGTAGACAGTATGTTACTGGAAATCTTGGATAGGGTCTGCTAAACACATTGAAATTCTCAGAGGGTCTTATTTCTGTGGGTCAAGCAGCTTTGTTGTAAGAAAGCCAAACTTGTGACTGCAAATTAATTCCATATACCCCTAAGGGATTGATCCTTCCAAATGAACTATAACAACCGTATTTATCCATGATGCTGGGTAAAATTACCTTACTCTTTAAAACCTTTCAGAGGACTTACAAAAGATATTAGCTAGCTAAAGTATTCCTCAATCTTTAAAATGTACCTTATTGGATACACTAGTAAGAGGATTTACAGCTGCAACTGTTTAAATTCCTTTCATAATAAGAATATTTTATTACTTCACTAGAGAGTGTGTACCAAGAAATTCTGTCCTTAAAAATGAGTAAGTGAGGGACCAGCAGTTAGTGTAATGGTTATGTCGTTGGACTCCCACATAGTCGACTGCGGTTCGAGTCCGGACCTGGTGGCTTAAACTAACTCCGGGTGCATGTGCATGCGTTCCCAAGATCCCGAGAGGAGAATGGAGGAGAAGGGATTGCGGTGTGGCCATCCCCCCTGGGGGGGGTGACTTCTCCCTTCCTGTCTCTATGTCTCTCTCTGTCTTTCTGGTGAGCGCATGTGCCCTATAGCAAAAAACCTCTCCAAAAAAAGAAAAAAAAATGAGTAAGTGAGCTAGCTGGTGATATGGTGGTTAAGACAGCTGGATCCCACCAGGTCCACTGTGGAGTTTGAATCCTGGACCTGGCAGTTTGAAAAACACACCAAGCACATATGTATGCATTCTCTAAATCCCAAAAGGAGTGAGAAAAGGAGGAGGAGAAGGGATTGTGGCATGGTCATACCCCATGGGGTATGTTTTCCCACTTTCTCTTTCAGTTTTTTTTCTCTCTCTCTGACAAGCACACATGCCTTTTGGCAAATTAAAATAAAAATTATTAAGTAAACAAACTGGTTTTGGCATAGAATAAAATCCCCAAAGAAGTTGGCGATGGTTCAATTGACAGGCAAATTAACCAACTCTTAAAATACAAAACAAAACCCAATCTTTACTTCACACCGTACACTGACATAAATCCCATGTATATTAGGGAATTAAAATTTAAATATGAGCCAATGTACTGTGTCTCCTGGATGGAAAATCTTATTTTGTATACTGTAATGATGTACAGTGAATGAATGTAGATAAATAAATTTAAAATAAAATTTAAAAAGCATATAAGATATAAAACAAATAGAAGAACACCTGGGGGTGATCTCTCACTTTTCTTCTCTCTCTGTTGTCTCTAGTGAGTACATGCACTCTGTAGCAAATGTTAGCAACAACAAAAATAAACTTTAAATGAGCAAAAGAAAATGTATATAAATATTATATGATCTTCAAATTAGGTGACTTAATAAATATAAATGTCAATAATGAAACCACAAGGAATAGATTTGTAAGGATGGAAAAATACCAAATTTTGAATATCAGAAAATGTAATATACAAAATGAAGAGGAAAATGAAGTATTGGGGAAAAATGCTTCTACTTGATAAGTTAATGTGTTTCTATTCTTAATATAGAAAAGAGGCTATCAGGCGGGACCAGCAGTTAGCATAATGGCTATGTCTCTGGACTCCCATGTAGTCAGTCGACTGTGGTTCTAGTCCCAGACCCGGTGGCTAAAACTGGGTACGTGTGTGTGTGCCCAAGATCCTGAGAGGAGAATGGAGGAGAAGGGTTTGCGGCATGACCATCCCCCCTGGGGGGTGATTTCTCGCTTTCTGTCTCTGTCTCTCTCTGTTTCTCTGGCGTGCGCATGCGCCCTATAGCAAGGAAAAGAAAACTTCGAAAAAAAAAAAAGAAAAGAGGCAATCAGGCAAGCTTGTAGCTCAGTGGTAAAGCTCTATGTGTTGTGAGTTGGAAATAGAATAGTATTATGAATTAAGAGACCTTAAAATGCTTATTTCCTTAAGATAAACAAGAAACTTCCTGAACCTGGATGAAGACTGTCAACTTAAACATCGACTGCAATTTGAATCCTGCCCCTTGAAAAACATGTCAGGTACATGTGTATGCATGCCTGCAAATCCTGACAGGATGGAGAAATAGAGGAAAAAAGGATTGCGGATGACCATGTCCCATAAGGGGATTTTGTTTCTTTCTCTTTTCTGTCTGCACACATCTTCTGGCAATTGAAAGAAGAGAATGAGGGGCCAGCAGATTGCATGGTAGTTGGGGTGCTAGACTCCCACATGGACTACCATGATTTGAATCTCAGACCTGAAGTCTTGCTTTCTCTTTCTGTATCTGTCTAGTGAGTGCACATACCTACAGCAAGTTAAAAAAAACAAAAACCAAAAAA